GGGGCATCCCGGAGTGACTCCGAGAGGCAATCTGTGAGCACCGCTGCGCAACCCCGGAGGGCTTCAGGCAGGGACTCCTGGGCCGACTTGCCAGAGCACCTCCCAGGGCGCTTCTTGGGGCAGCGCATCCTGGAGCGACCCCTGGAGGGTCTCCAGGAGCACTTTGCGCACTGAGAAGAAAATTTTAAAAAGAGCCTTTGGAGTTACTTCATTCTAACATGTGCCTCAGTTGCACGTGATTCCAGTGTGGTCACGCGATGTCATTTTGCTCCAAACGATATGCATTCGTTGAGCACATGGGAATCATGCGCGGCCGAAAAGCAAGCTCCTCTTTTATTCAGTGTAGTGAGAGCCCCCTATCCGATCAATGTGCCCACCCAAGCGCCGCCGGTAGCGCTTCTTGGAGGGACTCTGGGAGTGGCTGCTGGGAGCGCCCTCCCCCCTCCCATGAGGACCTGGTTCTTCTTCTCGTCCCGGCCCGGACCCAGTGTGTCTTTCGTGACCCCTCAGCACACGCTGAGGATCATGACGTCGGACAACCCTCCGTTCCGCCACCAGACCAACACGCTGTACACGCCCATGACCACGCTCAAGTACGCCGACCCCAACGGCGACCTGCCCATCGACACCTTCTACAAGATGGTCTTTGAGCACGACAAGATCTTCAACGCCAGCCTCAACTTCCTCAAGTTGCTGCGTTGGAGGAGCAGACGCAGCTTCGCGCTGGACAAAAGCAACTGACGTCCTCCGTTTCGCTGCTGGAGGGAGTTGGTCGAAGCTCGTGCTCGTCTTTAGCCACGCCCCGCAGGCCGTCATGTGACCACCACATCAAGTCACTTGACATTTTCAAAGCCTCCAAATATTGCAAACAGCTCTCATTCTTGTACGCTATAAGCTTTTTTTTTTTGGGGGGGGGAGTGCAAATGGAACAAATATGAAGCCAATGAAAATATCCATTACATACTCAATGAGGAAGAATGGTGCCATGTCATACATCATACATATAGTAATCATGGAGAACATTTTGATTTTTCTCAAGTTATTCATAAAGACAGGGTACTGAGAAGTAATATCGGACAGAAATCAAATGAATTGTGAAATATAAAATATTGTAAATACATTATATTTTAACATGAATGAAAATGTCGGGGGGGGCGGCCCGCCCCACGAATCAAAAGCGTGCGGAGGCCGTAAAAAAGTGCACGTCCCCAAATGACCGCAGGGTGGCGATAAACAATGACAGAGCAACTTGTGTGAGGCACCACATCCGGTTTCCTTCTCACGTCATATCTACACACGTGGCGTCTCTTCACCCAGTTAACGGCAGATTCTTACGTTTGTTTGAATTGGACGCATTAAATGGATTCGTTGACTCATTTGGCTCGCCAGTGATGCATTTTGAGTTGAGTTTTTGAATCAAAAATACTTTATTGAAGGCTGCAAATTAAGACTCTAAAATAGGGTAATTTGTACACATAAAGTTATAGTGATAACATAGGGAGTGTTCTTGTAAGAAAGAAGAAAACAAAAAGAGCAACATGCAGTAATAAGAAATCCTTCATTAGTCTCGCAATGGAGAAATTCCCAATTCACAGCAGCAAAGTTATGAAAGGAAGACGTAGAAGAACAAAATACGTAGGCCAGTTACGTCACAAAGCAAATTGGCCATATACATGTAGACATACAGGGAGGGAAGTAGAAATGAGTAGCAAGCGATGTCGACGCTTGTTTTCCAAACATATTTTCTTTTGTTTTTTTAAGGCATGAAAAAAACGAGCATTTAATAAACGTCATAATCATTCCGTAAAAAGATACAGAGAGCGCTCGCGTCAGCTTTGCTTTCGCCCCGTGTGTCCGCACGACGTCCGGTTTCCATGTCACGTCATATCCGCACAAATGTTGGTGGAGTACGTCGTGAAAGTAGTCAACGGCGGGTTCTGACATTTATTTGACTTTGACACCTTGAATGGATTAGTTTACGATCCGGCTCGCTCGCGACGGCCTTTAATCAGCTTCCCCGGGGCACCGGCTCAACCGTGCGTCGCGTGTGAGCGAGCTGGTCCCTTGTTTGCCTGGCAGCCTTAGCTTAGCTTAGCTGAGCTTTAGCCATGCTCTCGTGCGGCGGCGACGGCGGCGCTGTTGTTCGTCAGCGGGACTCGTTCGGCTACTAAGCCGCCGGCCTATCGCTCCGTCGCTCAACCGGCCGCGCCTCGGGTCTCCGCCGTGATATTTGATCGCCGATGTTGTGCGCAGACGTTCGGCTTTCGGTTGCGGCGTTAGCCTAGCCGCCGGGCGGGCGTCTTCTTTTCTTTGGATTGCGCGCCGCGCCGAACCGGGGGAGAGGACCCGGCCCCTTTTGCTCGTGTCACTGCTTTGTTTTTGGTCGCGTTTCGTTCGTGCGATGGCTTCGTCCTCCGGCAACGACGACGACCTGACCATCCCGCGCGCCGCCATCAACAAGATGATCAAGGAGACTCTGCCCAACGTGCGCGTGGCCAACGACGCGCGCGAGCTGGTGGTCAACTGCTGCACCGAGTTCATCCACCTCATCTCCTCCGAGGCCAACGAGATCTGCAACAAGTCGGACAAGAAGACCATCTCGCCCGAGCACGTCATCAACGGTGAGGGAACTTCCGGTCGCCATCGCCAACGCCGCGTCGTCGCTGCCTGACCGCCGGAAACCGCTTTCTGCCTTTAACATCCACGATTTTGTTTTCATGTGGCGTGTGCATTGATCGTGATCTATCGTTTGTAAACGTTCAACACAAGAAAGAGCGGACCCGCGCATTTTTTCCGACACAATCGTCGCGGACGCGCGCGCAGGTTTCATAGTCACTACGTGTTCAAAGGCCATCCCCTTTCCTCCCGCTAGAAGGCAGCGTTGATGTCTCAAAGCGTTTAAAAATTGGAACTTGAAAACCCCCAAACGATACTTTGTGTTTCTCCATTATGGCTGTATTGAACCAAAATCGGACCGCAATTTGTTGGTCTTGAGCTTGTTTTCCCTTGACACATTCTTGTTTTGCTGCCGCGACCTCCTCGTTGACGTCGCAGCGGACGCAGGAGAAGAAGAGCGTCTTCCACCGTGTGAAGGCAAAACAAGCTCAAGGGAAACAATTGATGGTTTTGAAGTCTCAAGAGGTCGCGTGGTTGTGCAAACCAGTAGCCCTGCCTTTTCGTCGCTGCGTAGCCAAGAAATTGCTCTCACAATACATTGCGCATTGTGTGATTTTGTTTCTTCATTCTCGAAATCGGCAAATAAAAAATAAAAGGTTACAGGACATACAGACCTTTCTAGAAACTTTGCAACTACAAGCCCAATTGCATGAAAAAGACACCGCTTGGATGTCAGCATATGTTTCTCCAAAACCTCGATGGACCTTTCGGAATTCGATGTGCACGTTCGCCATTGGCACGATGACGAGTCCCATCGCATCGCGGACGTATCGGCTTGTGAACTTTGCGTCCAGAACCATCCGGGAAATTGACGTTTTGGGCGGAAAGACAATGCAGCTTTTCTCTCATGTTTGTAGGCGGGACTTTGAACCGCTTTTGCCAGGCCCGCCATCGTGGTTGAAAATGCAGCGACCGTAGCGCCGCGCGGCTCGAAACGCGTGTCAAGTCGCCGGTGGCGGGGCCGCGGATGGCCCGCGATGAGGCCGCCCGAGCGAAGGCTTGCCTTGCTGACGCTACCGTGTCCCCCCCGCCCTGAAGAGGAGGAAGGCCAGCTCCCGCCTGGAGAACCTCGGCATCCCCGAGGAGGAGCTCCTGCGGCAGCAGCAGGAGCTCTTCGCCAAGGTAAGCCCGACGGCCTCGGGGGAGGGGGGGGGGCGGCGCCCGTCACTTTCGACTCTCGTCCTTTTCATCCAAATCGTGACAAGCGGGTTGCGTTGGGACCCCGATGCCGACTGGCACGTTGAAAGCCAGCCAATGTCCGACTCACCCGATTTATTTTGGGGGTGGGTGCGCGTGTCTGTGCGTGCGTGCGTGCGTGCAGGCGCGGCAGCAGCAGGCCGAGCTGGCGCAGCAGGAGTGGCTGCAGATGCAGCAGGCGGCGCAGCAGGCCCAGATGGCGGCGGCCAGCGCCGCCCAACAGGCCGGATCCTCTCAGGATGAAGACGAAGACGAAGACATGTGATCCGGCAAAGGAGGCGTTCGGGCACTGGTGCGAGGAGGGGGGCACGCCCGTGAGCACGGATGGACAGTGCGAGCAAAGTCGGAGTCGTGCGGACTTTGATTTCCTACTCCTCTAAATTCTCTTTACGTTGTGAATGTTCAGAGACCCCCCCCCCCCACTCCCCTTCTTGACGAAAACGTTGACGGGTCAGAATTACTGATCCACGCCGCCAAAATTGGCTGACAGACTTGCAGCTGGCACGCTGTTGACGATGTCAATTGAGGAGGACGGTTTGTGTGTGTGTACTCGTTCATTCCACCAACTTCAAGCAATAAACTCTGTCTTTTTTTTACACCTCCACCGCTGCCGTGTCGTCTTTGTCCTCCTTTCTTCTTCTTCCTGCGCTCGCCATGGCAAAGGTCCTTTGAAAGTGACTTTGCTCAGTCTTTCCAGAGCAGCGGAAGACGCTGTTGCGCCGTCGTCTGCGGCAGGGCACTCGGTGACCGGCGGTCCTCTGGCCACGCCCACCCGCGGTGAGTCACCCGACACCAATCGAAACATCCGCGTCTTCCCGTTTCTCTTTGAAGGGCTCAAACGATTTCACCGGCGACCAACCCTTTCGCGTCGTCGGCTTTTGAGGGGGCCGCGAAAGCACTCGCCGCATACGGTTGAGACTTGCGAGGCGCCGCTCTCTTCTAAAACAGGAGGTGTCGTGCTTCCGCGTACCCCCGACAAGGAAATAAGGTCACCGGCCTCACTTCTCATTCATGGCCGGCTGACGTTAGCCCCGTTAGATTTGCTTGCTTTGCTCGCTCGCTTCGAGTCGTGCGCTGCAGTGCTCGCTTGTGCGTTCACTCGATTGACTTCAAAAAATGTTTTTTAAGGGCACTCCTCGTCAAACGAACAAGACCGTTTTAGTTTGAATTCACAAGGTGGGAGACTGCGAAAACAAACGGCAATGCCGACGTCACAGCATCATGACTGAATTATTCTCAGTTACGTTTCATCACATTTCCACATTTGCGTTGACAAAACACCGCCTCGTTTTTGTTTCGTTTTTTTCTTTTGTGTTCTCCCAAACCTGTGGAGCCCCAACGTCCACCGCATGTCGCTGTTGGCTTTGCCAGACACATGGAAAAAAACAAGTTGCTGTAGAAGTTCACCGCACATTTTACAGCGCCAGTGTTACATATTAAAATCATTAACTACGCACGCGTGAAGAAAAAAAAACACAAATAGAAAACCTTATGCAACATGGTGGTGCAAACTTGCATAAGTGCGTGCGCGCGCGCGCGAGCCTTTTGTGTTCCGTAACTGCAGCAGCATCCCTGAGGGTAAAATATGTCTGTTGAAGTCCTCGCCGTCTCGAAAGTGACCCATTTTCATGAAAAAACTCGCAGCTATGCCTTTCACTTGCTTTGGGTGAGCGCGCGAGCGTCAGCCCGCCTGACGCGTCTCGTCGTCAGGCGGCGGCGAATCCAGTTTTTCGAAACTTCAAACCCGGCCGCACCTTGGCTTTCGTCGGAGGTGCTTCGCGGGTCGGGCGGAAGCGCGCGTGGCCAAGGCCAAAGTGCGGCAGGCTTTCAACTTTCTGCACCTGCGTTTGTCGCCTCTGCAATTCACGGCGCCTTGAGTGGGTGGGGCGGGGCGGGGGGGGGGATGATCCCATACCACCACTATAGAAACCAATCATCGGTATACCATTGGAGGAAAAACATCGATCAGTCATGCAACTCTTCTGGAGCAGTTCGCAGTCCCTATTTCCTGGAAGCATCCAACTTGTCCATAAAAAAAGAACCCCCCCCCCCTTTTGCTATGTTGTGCATTCTTGATTGGCTTCGTGTGTGCAGACAGAAAGCCGCGAGTTGGGCAGATGTCCTCAACTGCTCCCGCATTTCTCAAGCGGTTTCATTTTTGACATTGTCCAAAACTGGACAAGAGTGGCCTTGATATTCTTACTCACGCGCTGCCCACTATTTGGTTTTATTTGTACATTAAAAAAAAAACAAACAAACAAAAATGTCTCGCAGACTGGGGTGGTGCTCCCTCTTTTTGGGAAGGGGGACCTGATGCTGTGTTCGAGGGAGCGCACTCCTCGGCCTCCCTGCATGCGAAGGTCTGCTCGGGGGTGCCGGAGAGGAGGCGCCGTCAGGGGGGTTGAATCCCCCCCAAAAAAACTCCCGACATTTCTTGACAAAGTGCAAAGTATTTTCCCCGTTACAATTCACGTAAAATTCCCCACATTGAAGACAAGCTACGAGACATAATTGCTCCCTGCGTCGTCTTCTTCCTTAATTGCAATCATTCTGCACCATTGTGCAATAATTGGACAGCATTTCAAATCCAGCTTCGGTTTGTCAGCGTCCCACAACATCGCATGGCGGTCTCGGGTCAAGAAAGGACCTTTTTGCGGGTTCGCAGCACTTGGGAGGGCGAAGGCCGTATCGACGGGACGACAAACGGTAGCTTTTGGGGAGGCCGGCACAAGACTTTGGATGTGAATGCTTTGCGTTTCGAGCCTGGTCGCTGTGGCGATTCTGCTCACATCGCAAGGCAGCCGTGACATCTCACTGTATGTCTCAATGTATCTCTTACTATTTGTTATTACTCACCAAAGGAGGTCATGTGAGGGCGTGCGTGCGTGTACGTCCCGAGAAAAAGAGGCGTGACTTGCAAATGTTGTATAATGTGTGGAGTTCAAAGAACAAGAATAATTCCGTCTTGACTCATTGTGGTTTTGCATGTAGCGGTGGCGGCTAAATGTTGTTTTGCTGAAGCAAACGTTGTTAATTGAGAACATAGCTGGATGTGGAATGTTTTCTTACGCAACAACAAAGTGGCCGACTTGGACGGCATCTCCGCCTCAGCCTCGTTCGGCGCTACTCGCGGCTTGTGAGCGCACTTTCCATGTTGAGCCTTTTCGTTCACTCGCCTGCTTTTTACGTGTCAAAACAAGACACGTTTCCCGTTTGTTCGAAAACAGTGACGGTTAAGTCACTCATTTCATGCTCACACACGCCCCCTCCTCGCAAACACGCTCGCGCACGCAGACTCGTGCGCGCGCAGCGCTAGAGAGAGCAGATGGGTGAGTCTTCCAGTGACTTGCGTGTTAGGGTTTTAGTTAATCGGTTCGAACGTGTTGATAAAGTGCAGTCTACATAGCACCCCCCCCCCACCACCATCATCATGCCACGGATCCTTGACTTGACGCGTGATGAACGGAAATCATAACACTGCAGACATCATAAATAAGCCATAAAAACGACACACAATGTTAACTTAATTTTGGAATGATATAATGGAGCCCAAATGCTAAAACATAGGATAGGGGGGGGGGGGGTTGGCGTTGTTTGTTCTGTACATTTTTGCGTGGAAGTCAATACCACGCAGTCTCTGAGCTGACAAATTAATTACGACGAGAATGACAATCGTCCAAAGGAGAAAGTTTCTTCTCCTAAAAAAAAAAAAAAAAGTTGCGTTTCCATTGTGGCGTCCTTCTTTTGCAAAAAGAGTCATGTTTCACTCGAAGAAAGTGTGGAGCGAGACTTTTGACAGGGAAAAGTACAAGAGAACGTCCCCTTTTGACCTGCGAAGTCAAATCAAAGTGCAGACAACACGTTTATTCAAGAACAGAAGTCAGTCAAAATGTCCACGAGGAAGGAAATAGGAAAGTCGAAAAGGTCTCATCACAACCGTCGCCGGCGGGTCGCGCGTTCACAAGGGTGTCGCGTCATTCATTGGCTGTAATCTGCAGGCTCCTCCCCCTCCTCCTTCAACAGGCAGGTTCGTACCAGGGCCTCGGTGACGATGTACGGATCGCAGTTGGCGGAAGGGCGGCGGTCCTCGAAGTAGCCCTTTTGTTCCTCGCCCACGGCTTGCGGGATGCGGATGCTGGACCCGCGGTCGGCCAGGCCGGCAGAGAACTGGTCAATTTTGGAGGTCTCGTGGTGACCGGTCAGGCGCCGAGCGTTGTCTCGACCGCCCTTGGGATCGTAGGCGCGGATGTGGTAGTGGTGGCGCTTGGCCAGACGCTCGATGGCTGCCTCGATCACCCTGAGCACAGAATGGGGGGGGGGGACAAGAAGTTGCATTTGACATCCCACAACTTCAGAGAGAAGGCTCTGTTCGCAAGCGAGCCGTCGAGTGCCCAGTGAAGTTGCGAACCGCGAGAGTTGGCTCAAGTCCTGAGATCGAGGTCGCAGTCCCAAAGGGTGCGCGATGGTGTGCGCTAGCTACTCACTTGAGTCCTCCTTCCTGCCTCATGTCCTGGGTGCTGAAGTTGGTGTGGCACCCGGCTCCGTTCCAGTTTCCCGGGATGGGCTTGGGGTCGAAGGACGCGATCAAGCCGAAGTCTTCGCACACTCGATGTAGGATGTAGCGAGCCATCCACAGGTGGTCCCCCATAGCGACGCCCTCGCACGGCCCCACCTGGAACTCCCACTGCAAACGGAGCGCAACACACCGGTGGGCGTGCGGTCGACATGCCGGAAGTCATTCGACTCATTTTTCGATTGCTCGACGAACGAGATCAAACGCTTCAAATGGGCCTATGAAATGTCTTCCTTCCCTCTTTCGCTTATCCGGAATCGGATGACAGGGACGGCACGCAGACGAGAAAGATCCGGACTCCCGGGATGACCGAGGCTTCTTGAAGCCCAGCATGGAGCCACTGCGGCTCGCGAACCCCCCCCCCGACCAACGGCCCCCGGCCCTACCGACAGCCGGCGAGCTCACGTCAAGCAGGGGAGCTACGTTGTCTCTTCAGGCAGCAAGCAGCCAAACGCGCGCAGGCCCGCTCCTGCGCGCCTTGGCCGCTTGCATCAAACTTTCTCCTCCCCCTCTTCGCTCCCGCGCGGCCGCGCACACACGCAGACACGCACGTCCAGTACCTGTGCCGGCATGACCTCCGCATTGGTGCCGCAGATTTTCACGCCGGCGTACAAGCAGGCTCGGTAGTGAGCTTCCACCGCGTCGCGTCCGTACGCTTTGTCGGCGCCCACGCCGCAGTAGTAGGGACCTCGGGGGAGCAAGGCAATGACCGGTTGCGGGTGGCGAATCGGCGGGAGCAGAGCCCAGACGGCGGTCGGCGGCCCGCTCACCTTGGGGTCCCGGGAAGCCGTTGCGCGGCCATCCGAACGGGTGTCTGTCGCAGTCCAGCAGCGTGTACTCCTGCTCCATCCCGAACCACGGATGCTCCTTCTCCACCAAACTCATAATGCGACGACACCCGTCTCGAAGATTGGTCTCTGGCGGGGCGGGGCGGGGTCGAGATTAGAGCGGGCGACGTGAGAGCCGCCGCCGACATCTTTCGTTCTTCTCGCATCCGGTCCAACAAACGAACGCAAGAGCTCGTAAACAATCTCGAGAAAGTCACCCGCATTCGACCGACGCACGGAAATCATCTTCATGTCCAAAGTCAATCGCTGACTGGATGCTTGTGGAAATTCGCCGGGTTGAAGGCACATCAGAAAAGCTTTTGCGTGGCCGAGCGCACCCAGTCCACCCCGCCAAACCAAAATCCTCCGTCCTCTCGCCGTGGAGGGAAATACTTGGCTTACCCGCTCCCCTATTCATCGTGAGACTTGCCCACAAAGTTTGGAGTAGACCAGACGAATTGGAAACTGCCGGTTTTGCCAGTCGGCGCTTTGGACACGCATGCGACAGGTCTTTGACGGATGAAAGGAGGGTGCCTCGTTTTTTTGTTTGTTTTTTTTTTAACTCATTCATTGTCGTCGACAGGCAGCTTTAGCGTTAGCATAAAACTGGGAGCGCCGACAGCGGTCGAGTTCGTGCCATCCGATGGGCCGACACCCCGACGACGCAACGGTCACCGCTGGCCTGGATTCTCACGGGACCGCCGACTCGCGTTTCTCCGCTTGCAAAAATGGCATCTCGGAACAAGTGTTGTCACTCGAGACGAGAAGCTTCCGTCACGAGACGAGGACTTCTCTTGGGACGAGCCCTTCTCCTTGGACTCTGAGCATCTTTGGGACTACTCGCATCTTTCTCTGCGGACGACACCCGTGTCTCGGGACTAAGACCGGCGCCCGTCCGTAGCGAGCCTCCGCCGCACCTTGCCGGCGAACGTACCTGCGGGTTGTTTGTTGTACTTGAGCACCTCGCACAGGACCAGCTTGTTGGGGTCTTTCCTGAAGGGATCTCGGAACATGGCCACCGGGATCAGGAACATGTCGCTGTTGGAGCCTTCGGACTGGCAGGTGCTCGAACCGTCAAAGTTCCACTCGGGAGCATCTGACGCGCGTCCATCATTTTCATGCAACGTCAAATTACCCGTTATTATGACCTCTGTGTTTTCGGTATTTATCACAGGCACGCGCGACATCAAAGTCTCGAAGTTTACACCGTGCCTGTAATTCCGAGTTTGCACGGTCAAGGAATCATAAATGCAATGACAAGATTTTTGCGCAGCGTGTGGTCCGAGAAGCCCCCGTTCGCGATGCCTGCAAGGCGCGGGGGTGAAAGCTCCGGCGTCGCCGCATGCTTGTTGTGCAGAGGAAGCGAGGCTCGCGGCGGCGGGGGACTCACCTTGGAGGCTTTTGAGTTCCCAGTCCAGGGTGCGCGTCTTGGAGCGGAGTCCTTCTCCGGAGCCGTCGATCCAGACGTACGTGGCCTGGACCTCGTCTCCCTGGGGGAGGTCCAGGTACTGCTGCTTGACGGTCTTGTTCAGCTTGGCGCTCGCGGCGACCGACATGCTCGCAGCTCAGCTGCCTATGGGGGGAGGAGGAGCACAACAAAGACGATGAGGAGGAGGTGAAGGAGCCTTGTCGCGCGCAGCTCTCACGCTCGCACTCATTCTTGCCCCGTCCGAGGCTCGCGCGGGTTTTTGTACTCGTGCTCGCCGCCTTCCGATTGGCCCCACGTGACAAGCAACATCAGTCAGGCAACTCAGCAGCTCATCCATGAGAGGCTTCGCGTTGTTTGGCTCGCAGTCCAAACGTCACCATGACATCCATGTTGGACCTTTTTTTTTTTTTTTTTTTTGATGAAACGAACAAAAGCGGACCGAGTTTTTTGGCTCCGAGTTTTCCAATCAACTCGAGTCCGCGCGCATGGGCGCTCGAACGGCGCCGCCTGGTGGACAAAAGGCGAACGAGGCGGCATGACCTTCGGCGATCGCATACGTCAAGTCGTCGCGCTTCATTTTGGGGAAGAAAGACGGGAAGTGAGACACGAATTGTGTTTTTCTTTTCTTCGGAGCTGATTGAAGATGTTAGCTCGCGTGCAAGACTAAATGAGAGGTCGCGCGCTGCTGACTAGGCCGAGTCCCGAAAAGTATTTCAACGGCGAGTCACCGACGTGACGTGAGACGATTCGTGCGAGACCACGTGACGTACGAAGGCACAAACTCGCTCGCGCGGGCATCGACGGAAAGACTCGAGAGAGGATGAACGACGCCGGGAGATGTGCCGATGTGTCGAGCGACGGGAAGGTCCGACCGACGACTCGCAGTCTCGGATTCGGCGATACGCGAATGACGGCGGGACGCCCGCTGGCCGGTTGTCCGCTCACCCATGAAGCGGCTGGCAAGGTCCCCGCGTGACGTACGAAGGCACAAACTCGCTCGCGCGGGCATCGACGGAAAGACTCGAGAGAGGATGAACGACGCCGGGAGATGTGCCGATGTGTCGAGCGACGGGAAGGTCCGACCGACGACTCGCAGTCTCGGATTCGGCGATACGCGAATGACGGCGGGACGCCCGCTGGCCGGTTGTCCGCTCACCCATGAAGCGGCTGGCAAGGTCCCCGCGCGACGCAAGCAAGGGTCGTGCACGCGCAAGCTTGCTCTGAATTGGCCAACTCGCCTCGGAACTTTTGGTTTTCGACGAACGACCGGCAGGACAGTGGCCCAACTCATTCCCCTCGCGCATTCAAATTGCGGTGCCGCCGAGAGAACGCGACGGCGGCGTCACGCACGCCGGCCTGTGGACCAGTGC